CATTACTCCTTTTTTTTCCTTTAAAAAAAGATTTATAACAAAGTTGAGTTTCTGCTTAGGCAATGTTGAGAATTGCTATTTCTATGTTATTTATATAATGAATATTTATAAAGTGTTTAATCCAAGCTGGCTCTTCACAATTATGATTCATTTCTCATAACAACGTTGGGGTAGGAAGAAGTTTACCAACTTGCCTGTGATTACTGCAACTAAAAGCTGGCAGTGTTAGACACCTGGTCATTGGATAAGGTGCACAAGCCCTTACCTGCTGAGCTGGGCAGCCCAAAGCCACCAAGGGAACTCGTTTCCTGGGCAGAGGCCATCCCTTTCTCTGCTCCCTCTTCCTAGCACAAGCTAGGACTTCAAAAAGTTCTTGGAAAAATGCCACTATCTGTTCATTGTATTTGTCCATGAAATTTTTGAAGCTGCTCATATACCAAACTTAGAGATCTTAATCCAACCTAAAGAATTACACTTCAACACTCTAATACTGTTGAATCAAAGTTCTCTAAAACTTCTAGTAAACAAAATAGTAAACATGTCAGGCTTAAAACTTTTCAAACCCCTCATCAACTCTGAAAGCCACTTTCATTTCTAGAGAACTAACATTGAAAGCCAGATTGTCCTGAAATAAATGAAATGTTTTGTTGTTGTTGTTGTTGTTTTATGTGTAATTTCATGTTTCAAATTTGAATCTCACACATCCATTTGCTGCTTAAAGCATAAGGGACACTTAGTGTTAAGGTAATAGTCTATCGAAGGATTGCTGTTATTAAGTACTATTGAGGAGATTCTGACCCTGTAGAGGGTTTCCAAGGAGCAGCTGATGAGTTTGAACTGCTGACCTTCCAACTCAAACTTACCTTGCAGTCTAGCGCTTATCCTACAACCAGGATTCCAAGATAGCAAACAGTCCTTTGCAGATTCAAAGTGACTGCCCACTGTACTTCAAAGATTAACTCTAAACCTTTCACACATGGACAAGGTGATACTCAAACAATCTTGGAAACTCCAAAATTACAGCAGGAAGAAAGAAGTTATGCAGCAAATAAAAGATCATGTTACAACTGTCCACAGTTTCATTGAAATTCACACTGGATTCAACTTTTGACACTGATCCATGTCTCATCCTTTTGGTGAAATAGAAAACAAAAACAAGACAATTTAGGTATGAATTGAGAATATACAACAGACTAAACAAACCAAACATTCTTCCTTGGAATCCAAGATGACAGTTCCATTTTTGACAGAAAGAATTCATTTCATATACGAAGTATTGTGGAGTCCTGGTGTGGAGCTGTGGGATAAAGTACTGGATCTCAAGTGTAGTTTGAACCACAAGGTCGGAGATTCAAAATGAAATATTGTTGTTAAGTGCCGTTCACAGCGACCCTGTATGGATCAAGGATTTCCGAGGAGCTGCTGGTGAGTTTGAACTGCTGACTTTGCAGTTTAAACCTACCTTGAGGTCAAGTGCTTATACTATGGCACCACACCAGGACGCCTATACAAAACCGAATATCAGTATATAAATGATAGATGAGATAGATGATTCATACGTACAGGGCTGTGGTTGTATGCCGGGGAATCAGTTCCGACTCATAGTGTTTCTGAGGTTGTAAATCTTTCCCGGAGGATAAAGCCTCATCTTTCTCCCGCGGAACCGCTAGTAGTTTCAAACTGCTGACTTTGAGGTTAGCAGCCCCACGCACCACAAGGCTACCAGAGGGTAGCACTAGGCTACCAGAGGATACATAAGTAAAATCACTTATGTCTCCCCAACCACTATCACCGCCTAATTCTCCTGTTTTTTGTTTTTTGTTTTTTTTTTAACACTAAAGAGGCTTAAATTTCTCCCTATTAAGGTGTTGCTTGGAGTTCTGGTGTGGCGCTGTGGGTTAATGCGCCAGACTGCAAAGCCGTTTGAATTGCAAGGTCGGTGGTTCAAGCTCACCAGCTGCTTCTTGGAAACCCTATACAGGATCGCTATTGGTCGGAATCGACTCGATGGCACTTAATAACAACAACAAAAGATGCTTCCTGGAGTCATGGTGTGGTGCTGCAGGTTAATGCGCTAGACTGCAAAAATGGTTTGAACCACAAAGTCGGTTTGAAGCTCAAAGACGGAGGTTCAAGCTCACCAGCCGATTCTCGGACCCTCTATACAGGGTTGCTATTAGTCGGAACTGACTCGACAGTATTTAACAACAACAACAAAGATGCTGCTCCGTCTCCCTAGAGGGTGGCACCAGCCTGAACCACCCCCTGGAGCATTGCCCCATTGCAGCCCAGCACAAAGGGCTTATTCGCTGACTTTGGTCCCCCAGCAGAAGCAGGCAGCCTGAAACCCTCTTCCTTCTTGGAGGTTTGTTGTTGTTGTGTGCCATTCAGTTGATTTCAACTCATAGTAGCCCTATATAGTGTTTCCCAAACTATAAATCTTTACAGTCACCACTCACCTGTCAGTTCTGTACTGTGGTGGCTTGTATGTTGCTGTGATGCTGGACTCTATTTCACCAATATTTTAAATACTAGCAGGGTCACACATGGTGGACAGGTTTCATGGGATTTCCAGATTAAAACAGGCCAGAAAGGTGATGTAGACTACTTCTGAATGTGTGTTGTTGTGTGCCCTCCAGTCAGCTCTGACTCATAGCAACCCACATAGGGTTTTCAACTGTTGACCTTGTAGTTCACAGTCTAGTACTTCTCCCACAGCACCACACCAGAACTCCTGAATGTCTAGCCACTGAAAACCTCATGAATAGTAGAGGAACATCATTAGCTATAGTACCAGAAGATGAAAACATGAATAGCAGCAGCATATTGTAAAAATATTAAAAGTATCATGGACTACCAGAAGAATAAACAAATCTGTGTTGGAAGAAGTACAGCCAGAGTGCCCCTTGGAAGCCAGGATGGCAAGACTTTGTCTCATACTTGAGACATGTTATCAGGAGGGATCAGTCTTTGGTGAAGGATAGCGTGCTTGATAAAGTGGAGGGCTAGAGCCAAAGAGGAAGACCCCCAATGATACAGATTGACACAGTGGCTGCAGTGATGAGTTTAAATGTAATAATTGTGAAGATGGTTTCAGATTGGGCAGTTTCATCCTGTTGTGCATAGGGTTGCTATGAGTCAGAAATGACTCTATGTCACTTAATCTTCCAGAGCAGCTGGTGGATTGAACTGCTGACCTTGCTGAACTTTGGTTAGCAGCCTAACACATAACCCACTAAGCCACCAGGGCTAGGGGTTTGGGGGGAAAGATTATCCCTAATCTGTGGGAGTTATGCAGGAGGTCCGTACATGGCAGTGCCAGGTATCACTAGTGGGGATGTTGTTGTTGTTAAGTGCCGATGAGTCGATTCCAACCCATATTGAGCCTGTATAGGGTTTCCAAGGAGTAGCTGGTGAGCTTGAACCACCGACCTTGCAATTCAAACGGCTTTGCAGTCTGGTGCATTAACCCACAGCGCCACACCAGGATTCCCTAGTGGGGATAGGGCATGCAAACAGCACCAGGTAACACTGTAAGAAGAGATGGCACTAAAACGATTGTTCATAAAACTTTTGTTTATTGTTTCAACAGAAATTTATTATTTTTTATTAAAAGAACTTAATTACAACAACAGAAACATTTCCATTGGCCCTTCTTGCATGCATCAATAGACCTACAAGGCTAAAACTCTATACTAATTTACTTTTCTAATTTAGTGTTCAAAACCTTTGCTTGTTGTTAAGTGCTATGGAGTCCGTTCAGACTCATCGGACTCATAGGGACCTTGTATAGGTTTCCTAGGAGTGGCCCGTAAATTCGAAATGGCAACCTTGCGGTTCAAACTGACCTTGGAGTCCAGTGCATTATCTCACAGCGCCTTACCAGGATGCTGTCATTATTATCAATTACAATGACTGCTTCCTATCAGATGGCTTCGTCTGTTCATGATGTTGTTGTTGTTATGTGCCGGGGGGCAGTCAGTTCCGACTCACAGCGACACTGTACAGGGTTTCCGAGGCTGTAAATCTTTATGGGAGCAGAAAGCCTCTTTCTCCTGCGGAACAGCTAATAGTTTCGAACTGATGACCTTACGGTTCGCAGCCCAATTCGTAACCACTACGCTACCAGAGCTCCTTAAAGCCCGCTATTGTTTTCTATTACGAATCGGGCTGCGAACCTTAAGGTCAGCGGTTCGAAACTACCAGCTGCTCCGCGGGAGAAAGATGAGGCTTTCTACTCCCGTAAAGATTTACACCCTCGGAAACCCTGTACAGGGTCGCTATGGGTCGGAACCGACTCGACGGCACTTAACAACAACAACAACAACAACATTGTTTTCTATTACTGCTGGTGTTTTTATAGTTGTTTATTTTATGAAATCTTCTAGTGTTTTAGCTACAATAATGTAGTAATTAGTATTTGTGAACTTACATCAATAAATTTTTGAGAATGAAGTGATGCAGTTATTAAAGGAAAAGGAAAAAATAATAAAGGCTTAACTAGTTACCAATAATGTAACTAATAATGTTGTGATTTAATGTAGAAAGATTTTACAATTTTATTGCTGGTGTTCAAATAATGCAAGAATTCACATTTGAGCAATTTAGAGCTATTCTAATCGCATATTATTCTATGATCAATATTGACAGTAAACATGACTAAGGATTCTGTATGGTCTCCTCCTGGAGGTCCATAGGGGGATGACACCATGAGTTATCAAATTGGTGACACAAACCCCAGTGACGCTTTGGCATCCCCCACCCTACCCCACCCCATTTCATTCCAGGAGGCGTAGACAGGCGCCTTCCTTCCTTAATCAGGAACAAAGGAAGAAATTTGGGAATTTCCCCAACCTCAAGGCACCGGGCTGACCAAATCTGATCATGGATAAAAGGGGTTCCCGGGGCTCAGAGCCTCAGAGCCCCATCACAGGCAGTCTTCTCCCTCGCCACCTCTCTCGCTCCGCACACCGCTGCCCAGATTCTCCGAGCCGAGCACCATGACCTTCACCGCAGCTCCCCGCGCTCTCCGCCTGCTCCAGGCCACGCTGCTCTTTCTTCTCCTGGTCTCTGCGGGCCAGCGCGCAGCAGGTGAGTCTCGGCGGGACTTCGGGGGCGGCCAGGGCCCGCTGGGATTCCATGCGCAGAGACAGTCCCGCTAACTGAGTCCCTCTTCTCCCTCAGGGGCGCCCGTGGTTTCCGAACTGCGATGCCAGTGCGTGCAGACGTTACAGGGAATCCACTTCAAGAACATCCAAAACGTGAAGGTGACGCCTTCCGGACCCCACTGCGGCCAAACTGAAGTCATGTAAGTCTCGCTGCTGCTACTGCCATCGCGTTACCCTGACCCGGTGGTGCTCCCCAACCCCAATGCCCGCCTCACGTGGTTTCTCCCTTCTCTCTCTGCAGAGCCACTCTCAAGAATGGGCAGGAAGTTTGTCTCAACCCCACTGCCCCCATGGTTAAGAGAATCATCGAAAAGATACTGAAAAAGTGAGTTCATGTCTTTATTTACAGCATGTGACTAGTGTCATTGGTCATCTCACAGATAGGATAATTTACCCCTGAAAAATGTATCATAGAAATCCAGGGGTTAGCTGAAGGGCTGAAAATCTGCGTTAAGATAATTCTGGAGCCTAGAGGACAGGACAGGAGAAAAGGACTATGCTACAGGTTTTCCTAAGCATCTACTGACAACCCTTTTTCTCATTTCAGTGGCAATTCCAACTGACCTTTCAGGAAGGAGGAAATTTATTGGTGCCTGTTCTGGAAGTAGATCCTGACTTTACAGAAACTGAAAGGAAGAAGAAAACTAGACACCTCCTGAGGACAACTGGAATTAATTTATGTTGAAGCATCTCTTACATTGTTCTATTTATTTATTTATTTTCAAGCAGACTATATTAATATATTACATGTAAAATAGTTAAGAATGTAGTGGAATCTATTTATACACTTTACTGTTACTTTTATTGTTCATGTTATGTCAAATTAAAGTTAGCACAGTTCTGATTCTTACTTAATTTGAAGGCAAAAGATTTTCAGAAATTCTGTAATAGAGGCTCTGGGGTAATCAGTTGGAGTAGAAAGATGTATGTGTACAACTATTTTCTATTTGGGAGAAGATGATTAGTTATTTATTGAAACCATTTTACAGTATGTGGCCAACATTTCTCATGTTGAAGCTTTAAGAACTAAAATGTTCTGTATATCCCTTGGACATTTTATGTCTGCCTTGTAAGGCACAATGCCTTGTTCAGTGTTAACTATGCAATGTTTCTCTGTGTCAAATATTTATTAATGGTCTTACAAATAACATGAAAATAAAGTATTTTAAAGTAAACAATGTTTATTTCATTTTCTAAAGGGAGAAAGAAAAAGCTACTTTTACTGAATAATTCTATGATTTGCATCAATGGTTCTCAGTTTTTCTTCCTACTGCGTATTTTCTTTGATACGCAGATAAATTGAACTGTAAATTATATGTAATTTCCTCTAGTATTGACTGTCATTCCTCTGGGCTTTCCTCTAGTCAGGAATTTGATTTTCCAAACTGTGGCCTACCACCTGCATGACATGGAAATCACAGCTATATATTGCTGTTTCTCCTTGCTACCTTGCAACTCAGGTTTAGATGTTGTTGTGTGCCATCGAGTTGGTTTCAACTCATAACAACTCTATATAGCGTTTCCAAGGAGCCACTGATGGGTTTGAACTGTTGATCTTGCAATTAGCAGTCCAGTGTTTATCAAAGATAAACCACCAGTTTAGATCAAACAACCAGTCCAGTGTTTATCAAAGATAAAGCCACACCAGTTTAGATCAAAGATAGACACACGATCAGAAATAAATGCTGTTGAGTTAACCCTACTCACAACAACATTACTTACAACAGAACAAAACAGTTCCCGACAATACTATTTCCCCCTCACAATTGCCAGCATGTACAAGTCCACAGTTTTAACCATTGTGCTGATTCATCTTATTGAGGATCTCTCTCGTCCTTCACCAAATACAATCTCCTCCTCTAGCACTTGATTGATCTCACCTGATGATAAAGCACAATGAGAGAGTCAAACAATGCTCTGTTATGATTTATAAGGTTTTCATGGATTAACTTCTGGAAATGGATTGCCAGCCCTTTCTTTCTAGTCTGTCTTAGTCTGGAAGCTCTGCTGAAACCTGTCTACCATAGGTATTCCTGCTGGTATTAAAATACTAGTTACATAACTTCCAGCATCACAGAGACAGGCAAACCACCACAGTATGACAAATTCACAGACAAGTGGTAGTATTAAAGTTTTTCTCCTTAAAATATGCATACATACTTTTAGCTATACTAACTTCTTCTTGTTGCTAAGTACCATCAAGTTAGTTCCGACTTATAGCAATCCTCTATAGGGTTTCTGAGGAGCGGTTGGTGAGTTTGAATCATCAACATTGTAGTTCAAACTGACCTTTTGAGCTAGTGTCTATCCTACAGCACTGTACCAGGATTCCAACTAGGGGTCTTATTTAATTATTTTGCTAAATTAGTTTTTAAGCAACTATTGACAGTTTAAAGAAAATGGTGGAGAAATGACAGTAAGTGGATTGTCCTTCAAAATTCAAGTAATTTACGTCTTCAGTAGAAGTGATAAAAAGTGAGTGGCTTTTATAAGTACTTCCCTTATAAAGGTGCCTAATTTAAAATTTTACTCTACTTTCTAACCGTTATATATGAGTAACTAATACTGCATTTTGTGTCGTTACCATCCTTTTTACCAATTTATCAGTTTTTAGATTTGACTATAGAATTTCCCATATTTTCTAAGTGCAATTTTTATGGAACCTTATGGATTGTTTTAGGGAGCCCTGGTGGTGTTGTAGAAGAAGCTCTGGACTAGTATCCACAAGGTCAGCAGTTCAAACCCACCAGGCAATCCAGGGGAGAAAAAGGAGGCTTTATAGACTCAGAAACACTATACGGGGTCACTATGAGTGGAAATCAATTAGATGGCAGTAGATTTGGACATTTTTTACTTTGTTTTGTTTTCATAGATTGCTTAGTAGCCCTAGTAGTGCAGTGGGTTATGTACTGGACTACTAACGGCAGATTGGAAAGTCAAACCTACCAGTGTCTCCACAGGAGAGAGGTGTGAAATTGGTTTCTGTAAGGATTTACAGCTTCTGACTCTTAGCGGCCCTTTATAGGATCTGTGAAGCTATACATCTTTATGGTCACAGAAGACCTCATCTTTCTCCCATAGAATAGATTGTGGGTGGGAAGTATTAACCTTACAGTTAGCACCACTATGGCATCTAGGAAAACCTATGGATGAGTTTTACTATGTCCTGAACTCTAATGGCACTGTAGGATAAGCAATGGACTGCTGACTGCAAGATTGGCAGTTAAACCCACCAGTTGCTCCATGGAAGAAATACGAGGCCTGTGCTCCAGTAAAGATTTACAGCTTCCAAAACCCTATACAGGGTTGCTATGAGTTGGAATTGTCAGTTTGTTGTGTTGTGGTAGCTTGTGTGTTGTGATGCTGGAATCTATGGCACTGGTATTTTAAATACCGGCAGGGTTACCCATGTGAACAGCTTTTAGTGGAGCTTCCAGACTTAAACAGACTAGGAAGAAGGAGAGGCAGACTGCTTCAGAATGTTTAGCCACAGAAAACTTTATAAATAGCAGAAAAACATTGTCAGATATAGTGATAGAAGATGAGCCCCTTAAGTTGAAAGGCACTCAAAATAAGACTGGGGAAGGGCTGCCTCTTCACAATAGAGATGATCTGAATGATATGAATGAAGCAAAGCTTTTGGGACCTTCATTTACAGATGGGGCACAACTCAAAATGAAAGGAACCAGCTTTAAATTCCATTTAATAACTAGAATTTGGAATGTAGAAAGTATGAATCTAGGAAAATTGGAAGGTGCCAAAAATGAAATGGAATGCATAAAGATTGATATCTAGACAATAGTGAACTGCAATAGATTGGTATTGGCCTTTTTGAATCTGACAATCATATGGTTTCTCATACTTTGGACATGTTATCAGGAGGGACATTATGCTTGGTAAGTAGAAGATCAGCAAAAAAAAGAGAAGATCCCTCCGATGAGATGGATTGACACAGTGGCAGCAGCAGTGGGTTCAAAAGCAGCAACATTTGTGAGTATAATGCAGGTCTGGCTGTGTTTCATTCTGTGGTGAATAGGATCACTCTGAGTCACTTGACAGTACCCAACAACAATAACAATGAGTCGGTTGGGTCTATATATTGCTATGGGTCAGAATTGACTTGATGGCACTTAGCAACAACAATAACAATACTTTGCTTAGCCTAAGAAACCCCTCTGAACAGCTTGATATTTAATGCTTCCCCAGGTGACTGCAACATACCAGCTCCCAAGACAAAAGCAAATATTTTTATGTCAAGGGAGGATATATCCAATAGTGAAAGACACCACACTCCAAACATGAAAAGGAGGAATGTTTGTACATGTGTAGGTGTGTTTTGGTCTCTGATTCAGAACTTATTCCATAAATCCTAAGCCCTAGGCAAAAGCCTCAAGCAGAGGCAAAGAGTGGAGTTGGCACCTGAGTACTTAAGATCAAGTTCTGGCTTTGCTCAAGTAGCTCGGTAAATAAGGGCTCTCAGTAACACGAAATGATCTTTGTGGAGGAGATATGGTGAAAACAGGATAAACCCCTTTTTAATTATTTCCTTGTGAAGTCAAAGGTGATTTTTTAGTTATGAATGAGATAAGAAAGAAATTTGTGAATTGTACATAAATTCAAAACCTTTTGGGAACTTCATAAATGTCAGCACTCACTCCAAAACCATAAATTAGAGCACAATGAAAAATGTTTTTAAGTAATATCCCAGAGGTTTGATAAAGCCACACCCTTATACCTGAGAACATTTCTTAACCTCAGACATTGTCTGGGGTTTGAAACACTGACCACAAGGGAACTGCTTTTGCTCATCTGTTGGTTAAAGAATGTTATGGATTGAACTGTATTGCCCACGAGAAAACCTATGTTGATGTTTAAAGCTAAGTCCCTGTGTCTGTGAATGTGACAATTTTGGGGAAAATATCTTTCTTTGAAGTTATCAGTTAAGTCATAGCTGAGTAGTACTAATCCCTTCTGAGTGGTGTCTTCTAAAAGGGGAGAACAAACACATAAAAAGACACACTGATAGAAAACAATGACTGCAGAGGTAGTTGCCAGCAGGTTTGCAGGCAGCCACCAGAAAGTAAGAGAGAGGCATGAAACTTTTCTCCTCTCAAAACCCTAAGAAGGAATTTATATGACCGACACAGTGACTTGAAGTTCTAACCTCCAGAACTGTAAGAAAATAAAATTTCTGTTTTTTAAAACCATCTAATTATGATGCTTTGTTATGACAGCCCTGAGAAATTAGACAAAGGCATAGTTTTCAAAGAATCATACTGATTTTGGAGTAAATGACAGACATGCAACCTCATTTATCCCACTATAGAATGAAGATAATAACAGAATGCATTGTCATAAGTTGCTAACAAGTATAACAAATAATCATGCAAATGTGATTATTTAGAAGATGTAATTAGCATGGTGCTTGGAAATTATTGATGTATCCGTGTCTCCAGAAATCTGTATCTTGCCTTTCATCTTCAGGTCAACTCCATAGACATTGTCTCAGTGCTAGATCAAGTGAATGCATTCTTGTTAGGTGTCCTTGAATCAGTTTGGATCC